CGTGACATTATATATCTCTCTTGAGAATCTCTCATCCAATTACATATCCTTACAAAAAAAACGTGTGCTCTTTGTTTTTTTTCAAAAAATTTCCTTTGCTTTCACTTCTAGTTGTATATATGAATATAGTATAGTTGATAAACCATTACTATAGGTAAAGAAACATATTGCATATATTTTAAATACATATAATATATATTAATATACTCAAATACACAAATATTATACAAGTATGTTAATAAACTACTGAAAAATGGTAAAATTCCGACCGCCAAAACGGTCAAAAATCGGTCGAAAATCACGAATTTTCGACTACTTTCTGACCAAAATTGGTCAGTCGGAAAACACTTGGTCGGAAAATAATTTCCGACCGAATCCGTCAGTGATTTCCGACTAAAGTAGTCAGAACGTTCAAAAAGGTCAGACGACCAAATATTTTCAAATTTCCGCTCGAAGTTATCACATCACAAAATCTAACCGTCGTGATGGCGCCTATCGTGGAATTAGGCAAGCCACAACTCAACATCTCAACACAGTAAAATCGTTGAACATAAATACGGAAGCAAATTAATAATTAAGGAAAGCCTTTTTTAAAAACAGAAATATCCAAAATACGATACCATCCATCCCAAAATCGGGGTGTCACAGAGTACATGAGCATCTAAACCAGAATACAGTCCACTACAGTATCTAGAAAATAAAAATTGAAATACAGATAGAGATAAAGAAGGAGAGTCAAGGCCTGCGAACGCCATGCAGCTACCTCGATAGTCTCCGGGATCTGGCTTCTCAATTAACAACCGCCGTAACCAGAAATGCCTGGATCTGCACACGAGGTGCAGAGAGTAACGTGAGTACAACCAACTCAATAAGTAACAAGTCCAACCTTTGGACTGAAAGGTAGTGACAAACTCAACCGGTACAGTTAAAAATAGAAATAACTGTGCAGAAACGTAGGCATGCTTTCAAATTAAATAGATAGTTCAAAACAGTAAAGTAGATCGAGTTCGAACAATGTGAAGAATATAAATCTTCTACTTCTACATACCAATGCACATACTGTATGTGATGCACCATATTGACAGTCTCATGTACTCACGCCATCAATGCTCAACCACTCGGTACTGTATATGGCCCAGGTAAGATCCATCCCGGAATATATACATCACTGACCATCAGTCACCCAGTACCGAGGAAGGCCAATCCGGCCTGTGGAGAAGATCCATCTCCAGGTATCAACTGCTTCGGACAAGATCCATGTCCAGGAAGATCTATCCCTCAATAATATCAATCGCGCTCACTGGGGGTGTGTACAGACTCTGGAGGGGCTCCTACAGCCCAAGCGCTATCATAAAATCAGTATAATTGCTGCGGCGTGTAGCCCGATCCCATAACTGTCACTCATAATCAAGCTCTCCGCATCACTCAGTCATCAATCTTTTCAGTCTCACTCATGGGCTCACAATGTCATGAAAAACTAGCCCGAAACAATGATATGATGTATCAATAATTAACAACTGAGATATGATATGAAATGAATGAATATGACTGAGTACGTAATATCAATGAAATCAGTAAGGTGACAACAAGAAACGACCACTATGGGTCCCAACAGTACCAACACAAAGCCTAAACACGATATCTAGCATGATTGACAGCTTAATTACTTTATCACATGCTGAAAACACGGATATCAACAATGTAGAATCGCTATACGGTGCCATAGAATCAACCAGGTCACAATTCTCATGGTGCACGCCCGCACGCCCGTCACTTGGCATGTGCGTCACCTCAATACCAACCACATAACACATAAATTCGGGGGTTCGAACCCTCAAAGCTAAGTTTGAAAGTGTTACTTACCTCAATCCGGGTAAAACTCTACTCCAAAATGCCTTTGTCTCTCAAATCGGTCTCCAAACATCCCGAATCTTGCCACAAGTAGTATAATACAATCAATATAGGCTAAAAGGATCAATTCCACAAGAAAAGTACTAAATTATAGCCAAAATCCGAAATAGGCTCAAACCCGCCCCCAGGCCCAAGTCTCGAAATCCAACAAAAGTCACAAAACCCAAAAGCACATTCACTCACGAGTCTAACCATACCAAATTTATCAAAATCCGACATCATTTGGTCATCCAAATCCCCAAAATTCACTCTCCAATTCTCTAGCCCTAAACTCCCTAAATTTCACCTCAAAAACTCACCAACTAGGTATAAAATCAGTGGGGAAACATCATTATTGAAGATAAATGGACACAAGGAGCTTACCTCAGTAATCACTTCAAAATCCCTCTAAAACTCCTCCAAAATCCGAGCTCAAAGTGATGAAAATAGTGAAAAATCTAGAAATCCCATATTTATATGTTCTGCCCAGGCCTTTCGCACATGCGGCCTCTTATCCGCACCTGCAGAACTGCTTCTGCGGTGATTCCTCCGCTTCTGCGGAATTCACTTAAATCACTGGGCTCGCACCTGCCCTCCAGGTCTCGCACCTGTGGAAGCGCTTCTGTGGCCCCTCATCCGCTTCTGCGGAAACAACATTCCCTCACTACTCTGCATCTGCGGAGCCCTTCTCGCATTTGCGGGCTCGCATATGCGCACTTTCCTTCGCATCTACGCTTACCCTAATCCATCCCCAGCTCCGTATCTGCGTAGTCCCAGCAGCTTCTGCGGCATCTCACTCACGGGCTCACAATGTCATTAAAAACTAGCCCGAAACAATGATATGATGTATCAATAATTAACAACTGAGACTAAGATATGATATGAAATGAATGAATATGACTGAGTACGTAATATCAATGAAATCAGTAAGGTGACAGCAAGAAACGACCACTATGGGTCCCAACAGTACCAGCACAAAGCCTAAACATAATATCTAGCATGATTGACACCTCAATTACTTTATCACATGATGAAAATACGGATATCAACAATATATAATCGCTATATGGTTCCATGGAATCAATCAGGTCATAATTCTCACGGTGCACGCCCGTCACTTGGCATGTGCGCCACCTCAATACCAACCACAGAACACATAATCTGTGTAAAACTCTACTCCAAAATGCCTTTGCCTCTCAAATCAGTCTCCAAACATCCCGAATCTAGCAACAAGTAGTACAATACAATCAATATAGGCTAAATGGATTAATTCCACAAGAAAAGTACTAAATTATAGCCAAAATCCGAAATCGGCTCAAACTCGGTCCCCGGGCCCACGTCTCGAAATCTGACAAAAGTCACAAAACCCGAAAGCTTATTCACTCACGAGTCTAACCATATCAAATTTATCAAAATCCGATACCATTTGGTCATCCAAATCTCCAAAATTCACTCTCCAATTTTCTAGCCCTAAACCCCCAAATTTCACCTCAAAAACTCACCAACTAGGTGTAAAATCAGTGGGGAAACATCATTATTAAAGATAAATGGACACAAAGATCTTACTTCAGTAATAACTTCAAAATCCCTCTAAAAATCCTCCAAATACCGAGCTCAAAGTGGTGAAAATGGTGAAAAATCACGAAGTCCCGTATTTATATGTTCTGCCCAGACCTTTCGCACCTGCAGCCTCTTATCCGCACCTGCGGAACCGCTTTTGCGGCGATTCCTCCGCTTCTACGGAATTCACTTAAATCACTAGGCTCGCACCTGCGTTCCAGGTCTCGCACGTGCGGAGGCGCTTCTGCGGCTTCTCATCCGCTTCTGCGGAAACAACCTTCCCTCACTACTCCGCATCTGCAGAGCCCTTCTCGCATTTGCGCACTTTCCTTCGCATCTGCGCTTACCCAAAGCCATCCCCAACTCCGCATAGTCCCAACCGCTTTTGCGGCATCGCACCTGCGTCTAGCACCCAAGTGCGATCACACCAGCAACATACCAAACTTCAGTAGTCCTCAACTTCCATTCCAAGTCCGTTAACCACCTGAAATTAACCCGAGGCCCCCGGGACCTCAACCAAATATACCAACACATCTTAAAATATCATACGAACTTAGTCGAATCTTCAAATGACCTCCAACAACATTGAAAACACGAATTATACACAGATTCAAGCCTAATGAAATTCGAAATTTCCAAATTCTACAAATGACGCCGAAACCTATCAAATCACGTCCGATTGACCTCAAATTTTACACACAAGTCATAAATGACACCACAAACCTACTCCAACTTTCGGAATCGGAATCCGACCCCGATATCATAAAGTCCACTCCCGGTCAAACTTTTCAAAATTCAACTTTCGCCATTTCAAGCCTAATTCTACTCCGGACCTCTAAATCACAATCCGGAGACGCTCCTAAGTCTAGAATTACCCAACGGAGCTAACGAAACCATCAAAATTCAAATCCGAGGTTGTTTACACATAAATCGATATCCAGTCGACTTTCTAACTTAAACTTTCAATTAAGAGACTAAGCGTCTCAACTCACTCTGAATTCTCTCCGGATCCGAACCAATTACCCGATAAGTCATAAAGCAACAGTGAAGTACAAAAATGAGCAAAAAAGAGGGAACGAGGCTACAACTCTCAAAACGACCGGCCGGGTCGTTACAAAGGTGGTTGAAATTTTACTGACCGAATCAGTAGTAATAATATAAATAAAAATAATTATTTATTTAAAATTAAATAATAAAAATATATAATTTCCGACCGATTCGGTGGGAAATTAATAATTAAAAAATAAATTTTGTTTAATTTATGACGGAATCCGTCGAAAACTGTTAAATATTAATTATTATTTTTTAAAATTTCCGACCGAATCGGTCGAAAATCTAGGAGTTTTTTGGTAAAATCTGGGCAGTTGTCCGACTGTTTTCGTTGGAAATCAGTCGGAATTTTCTGTAAAACTAGGCAGAATTCTGCCCAATTTTGAGCTACACCACCTGTCAAACTATTACAATACAATACCAGCCATTAACACAGTCTAAACCAATAATACCAACTATTAACATAATATAAACCAACAATTCCAACCATTAGCACAATCTAAACCAACAATACCAACTATTAACATAATATAAACCAACAATTCCAACCATTAGCACAATCTAAACCAACAATACCAACTATTAAACCTAACAATTTTGGGCATAAAAACATCCAAATAGTAGCCCACATTCAAGTTTAAAAATAAAATATAAAGTTGTCTTTCACAATCAAGTTTACCAATTAACCAAAACACCACACCTAATCTACTACACATCGGATTCAGTTTGTTCATCCTCATCATCAGATAGATCATGCCCATGTTTTCTCATGAATTTCTGCATCTTAACAAATGTTCCGAATTTGGGAGTCCAACTGTTGCTTCAAATCACGAATTTTCTTTCTCATATCTTCCATCTGTTCTTGATTTTGAGAAGAAGAAGAGTTGGCTAAGAGTGGGTTTAGATGACCTGTAGGTCGACGTACGCCAAGTCCATAAACTCTTCCTTTGTTTACTCCACCTGCTGCCTCTGTCCACAATGAAGCCATTTCATTAGGTGTTGGTTGAGTTAAAAGAGGATGAGTTTGTTGCCATTCTTCCACCCTTTTATGATAATCTTTCTGAAATGAAAACATAACTATTATGTAAACAAACTAATATTAATAAATCATAAATAATTATGAAGTTAGCATTTTACATATGTGTCTGACGCACGCGTCTCCCCTAGTGTTCTCTTGTACCATCCTTCTTCTTTTTCTTATGCGTCTCCTCAAAGACCTCAGCATGACTCATATCTCGCCCTCTTTCCTTTTCCTTCATAACAAAAAGTATGAGTTAGACATTACAATCGTAAAATTCTATATGTAAAACTAAGAAATTTTTTAATTATCAATCTTAATTTATGGACCGCAAAACTAATCGAACCTCTTGTGTGCAACGAGCAACCTTTACTGGAGGCACGATTTGCCTTTGCTTGTTCACTCTTCTTCTTCCATTCTGCGGTATTTCATTTCTTAAGAAATATATCCCAAACATCTTCTCTTAACCACTCCGGCATTTTACCAGCATTCTGAGCAGCGAACATAGTATCTTTAATCCGCTTAGCAGCCTTCTTGTCGAAAATATTATTTATTTTATTTTGATGCTGAGGATGCCATGTATACTTTGTATGCAATATAAAAAAGTAACATTAGATGAAGACGATAATTATTAAATAAATATAATTAATTTTTACCCTAAATTGATTCCACATTTGCTCTATGATACTGTACCGTATCTATCTCCAAGAATTCTACGGCTCATGATAAAATGGCTTCATAAATTCCACAACCAAATGTGAATACTGAAAGGATGGCAAAAACCTGCATTAAAGTTAACATATATATAATTAATAAACATCTTAAAGTTTCAAAAGTTTTAATTATAAATAAATATTCCTTAATGTTAACATATCTAAAAGTACATTCAAAACTTTAAAAATAGTATAAGAACCTTCTTACCCATCCTCGTAGGGGACGATTATCAATCGATTATAACTATCAAATTGTACATCCTCTCTAAGATTCTGCCTGCGTCTACTAGATGGTGCAGAAGCAGCACTAGATGTAGCTAGGCGAGAGCCTCCAATATCCAACCTAGATATACTGGGAATGGATGATGATGATGGACTGAAAGATGATGGAGCAACAAAAGACGAACCATCATGTTGACTACCATGAAAACTCGGGGATGCAGCAGCTGGTGAGCCATCATGCTGACTACCATGAAAGCTCGAAGGTGCAGCAGCTGGTGAGCCAGTATACTAACTACCATAAAAGCTTGGGGATGTAGTAGCTGGTGAGCCACCATGCTGACTACCATGAAATTCCGGTGAAGATGATGGTATGGAAGGTGTGGGTACAAAGTTAAAAACAGTGTTACTTTGACTTCCTTTGGCAGACATAGACCCTTTCTGGAATTTACTTTGACTACAAACCCTTTCTTGTATAGATGAACTTTAACTTCGTCTGCTTTCAATAAATTAACATACTTATATTTCACACAAGGGCACCTAATCCTTCCTCCAATAAGAAAATCATCAAGTGTTTGAGCCTTAACAATAAATTCAGCAACCCCTTCAATAAATTCATCCTTCAACCCCGCACGATTAGGATGATTCCTATTATACATTCATCTACGATGCACAAATTCCATCTACACAAATAGAAATCTAGAAATGAGATATTTAAAATAATTTGATTTATTTAAACTGATTACAAAGTTATACTCTTTCAAAGGTTCGTTTTAGATATATACATATCATTATATCAAAGCACTTTAATTGATATATTTTATTTTTTAAATTAATATTTTTTTAACACTCGAAATCTCACATTAATCCCTATTCTAAATAATAAAAGTCTTTAAATACAATAATTAAATTTGAATAGCTTCTTAAATGTTCATATAATCCAAATTAACTAATAATTTCTCAAATTTACAAATTAATCTTAATGTTGAAATTGAAAAGAATTAAAATTAATATCATTCTAAAAATTGAATATAAAAATATTAATATATTATTTTATATGTTTCTTTGATTATAACTTTTGGAAAAATTCTAGATACTTTTGGAAGTATAACATAGTTTTGTTATACAAAACTATGTTTTATACTTTATAATATTGTAGGTGAGTTTTAAATATTTAAATCTTATTTTAAAATATTAAAGAATCAATGTTTGATTTCACACAACTAGTTAAATAATTTGATCAAAGTATTTTGAACTTTGCAAATCGTTTTGGGACGAAGAGATTAATAGGTGCATAATTAAATTTTTTAAGGATATTATAATGTTTAGTTTTTGTTTTGCCAAAGTAGAGAGAATAAGTCAAAAGGAAGAATACAAACAACTATGATGAATCTGATGAGAAGTATAGTATAGATAAAGAGAAATGAACAAAAACAATGCCTTGCATCTTATATAGTTTTTTCTATCAGAAAAACCTTTATGTCTTCATATCAATCATTTTCTCACTTTAAACAAATTATTATTATTTGTCTTGTGAAGTTGTAGGATTAAATAATTTTCTAATCTTTATGATAGGATTAAGCTAGTTTAATTAGCTTATAACCTTAGCGAATCACTTGTTTAACATAAAATTTAAATTCGGGCTTATTAGTGGACATGTATTATTAACATATTCTTGTTTAACCCAAAATTTCAACCATACCTAATTTAACATATTCTTCTCTCTTTTTGTTTTAGATTAAGTATCATTAAAAAGTTAAAATCCCTAAAATTTCAACCATACCTACTTCAACTAACTAGGATGTTCATATATAAAAAATTACTATAAATTTAACAATGATAACAAGATATATATGTCAACGAAATACTTACTTCGACGAAAAAAATGCTGGAGAAGTCGACTGAGGAGCTGTTGCCGCCGCCAACCACTGCTGCAAAACAGATAAAAAAAATAATAAATTAAGGGGAAAAGGGAGGAGGAAGGAGAGGGAGAAGGGAGGAGGAAACGAGAGAGAGCAAACATATATTGTTCTTGCAGGATGGGGGAGAAGGACGAAAGGGAGAGAGGAGCTTCTGTTTTTTGGGGACGAGAGGGAGAGATGAGAGAAGGAGGAGGAAGAAAGAGCTTCTGTTTTTTGGGGATGGGGTGTAGGGTTGTTTTTAAAAAATATCCGACCGATTCGGTCGGAATTGTTATTTTAATTTTTTTTGTAAAAAAAAAATTACAGACGAAATCGGCCGGAAATGAAGTCAAACAAGTCAAAATAAATTTTTCGCCAAAAATTGCGACCGATTTGGTCGGAAATGTGGTCGAAAAAATTTTAAAAATATATAGGAGATATGTTTTTGAAAATTTCGACGGATTCGTCAAAAATTTCCGACCAAAAAAATTCAATCAAAAATTTTGGTCGAAATTTAGCGTTTTTTAGTAATGATATCTTATTAATCAATACTACATTAATTATTATATATTTAATATCGGTGAATATAAATTCCATATATTTTTAACATATACGCAATATACTATACACATATACAGGTCCCATTTTGTTTCCATTGGGACATGTATATGTGTATAGTATATTGCATATACGTTAAAAATAAATACGGCAAAGGGTCAAATATATCCGTCTACTTTCGAAAATGGTCTAAGAATACCCCTCGTTATACTATTGGGTTATCTATACCCCTGCAGTCATACTTTGGGTTCAAATATACCCCTCATTTAAACGGAGGGACACGTGTCATAGTCCTGTTGGTCAATTCAAAATATCTCCTAATTAATTAAAAAGACCCATTACCCATACCCGAAAAATAATTATTTTTTTTTGTAAAAACTGGAAAAAACTGAAATTATTTTTACTAAAAACAGAAAAAACGAAAATATTTTTTTTTCAGTTTTTACAAAAAATAAATTGCTTTAGAAAAAAATAAAAAATATTTTCTAAATCAATATTTTTGTAAAAACTGGAAAATAAAAGCTGAAAATTAATTTTCTAAAGCAATTTTTTTGTAAAAACTGAAAAAAAATGATTTTTTTAAACTAAAAACTGAAAAATACGAAAATATTTTTTTTTCCGAGTTTTTACAAAAAAACTGCTTTTAAAAAAAGCTGAAAACTATTTTCTAAAACAATATTTTTGTAAAAACTGAAAACAAAACTAAAAAGCAATTTTCTAAAGCTATGTTTTTGTAAAAACTTAAAAACAAATATTTTCTTTTTTTTTCCAGTTTTTAGTTAAAAATATTTTAGTTTTTTTCAGTTTTTAATTGCTTTAGAAAATTGATTTTCAGCTTCTTCTTTTTTCAGTTTTTACAAAAATATTATTTTAGAAAATATTTTTCAGTTTTTTCTAAAGCAGTTTTTTTGTAAAAACTGAAAAAAAAATATTTTCGTTTTTTTTCTGTTTTTAGTAAAAATAATTTCAGTTTTTTCCAGTTTTTACAAAAAAAATAATTATTTTTCGGGTATGGGTAATGAGTCTTTTTAATTAATTAGGAGATATTTAGAATTGACCAACAGGACTATGACACGTGTCCCTCCGTTTAAATGAGGGATATATTTGAACCCAAAGTATGACTGCAGGGGTATAGATAACCCAATAATATAACGAGGAGTATTTTTAGACCATTTTCGAAAATATAGAGGTATATTTGGCCCTTTACCGAAATAAATATTGGTGTGAAGAGAGAGAAGTTGGCTGTATAATTAAATATGGGTCTCCTGCCTAATGCAATTGAATGACTTGGTCTTTCTGCCATGTTAAGACAAGAATGAACACCACAACAATAGTACCAGTGAAAAGTTTTCGTTGCACATGGTATTTAAATGAGCATTAAGGTGTGGTTCTCCCTGCATGTGAACAGAAAATATACGAATTGATGTTACGTATATCGAATTATAATTTGTTAACATTTGCCAATTTGTCTTGATCGTGAAATTGTTTATGCAATGTTAATACATAAAACTTGAATTCTACGATAATTTCTTGACTATGTCACGAGCGTGTTATTAAATTAATATTCAGCATATCTTAATTAATTGCAACAAAGTAGATATACCGAAATTACTTTATTAATGTAAACATGAAGATATTTTGAGACAAAGTATGGACAGAGAAAACCTCCACGATTGGTGAAGTGACTTTTTTTGAAGAAAAACGCAAAAAAGAATGGGAAAGAAAGTACGTTATCTGCCTGGATTTGTCAATGGTTTGGTTTTAATTTTTAGGTATTGGAAGCAAACTAAATGACGAGTTTAACAGACAAAGATTGGTAACCACTATAGCCAAACCCCAAATAGGGAAAATGAAGCGAGCTAGTGAGAAACTGAGGATTAATGGAGAGAAGACTTTGGACCAAGATACTGTGTGGGCGTTTGGACATAAGAATTGTGAAATTCCGAAAAAAGTTAAAATGTTATTTAAAAATTAGAGTTATTTTTGGATATGAATACAATTTGGAGCTGTTTTTGAATTTTTGTTAGTAAGTTGAAGTGAAAATTTTGAAAACTTCCGAAATTCAACTTCAAGTGAAATTTGAAATTTTCATGACCAAACACTGATTGCGAAAAAAGTTATAAAAAAAATTATGGCCAAACGGCCCTATATATATTACCTAATTATGTATGGGGGAACCGAAGATTTTTCCTTTTGTTTGTACAATATTCATGCATGTATATTGCAGAAAACAGTCAATTCCATGCACGTGTTGAGATTTGAATGGTTGTCATGTTCAATTGAATTCTGAATGAGTTTAACTTCAACATATTAATTATATTACTAATGCACTTTACGGTAAAAAAGCTACACTATCAGATGTTTAGAAGGTAAATACAAATATATAGTTGATCATACGCTGAACTAATTACCTAAAAAATAAAATAAGCAATTTACTACAACAATCTGTGTAAAAATTTCTTATGTTGTCAACGTCTATTTACTTAAAAATGTTTAATCCATTATGAAAGTACAAGAAAATATCTACATATATTCCTGCTTTTTTGTTTTACTTCATCTTGTAAGAAACGGCGTAGAAGAACGGTGATATCTATAAGTACATTATTGTATTCATTACCATCGATTGAATATTTTGTATAAAATTGACTAGTTTATATATGACATATATATTGTATTATTATATAATTGCATATATGATCACAAAGTAATAGAAATGTAATTGAATGCTATATTTATAAACAAAATTTTAAATATGTCAATAGTGACTTATCCCGGGGCTTTGGTCTAATGGTAAAAGTATAATGCGTGATGTGTGGGATAGATACAAATCCTGCCATAGATGTTTTTCAAGCCACAAATTTAAACGAGGAAGGATAGAACTAAGGGATTCACTATCTATTGAGTTTCGAATCGTGTGTCACTGATCTTCTTTCGGTTATAAAGAAAAAAGAAAATCAATGGTGAGTTTGTTTATGGGAATAGAATTGGTAGATGAGGGGAGCTAGCTAGCTAGCAAGCAATTCTGTTTGAGAAGGATACAGCTACGTAAATTAATTATTCAATAACTAATTTCGTGTTAATTATTTTCAGTGGAGATAAAGTCATAGTTTTAAAGTAATTAAAAGTAATTAACTTCCCTAAAAATAAGGTTAACTTCGATATACTAAGCAAGATATATCGAATTAACTTCCCTAATAAGTAATAATAAGAAGACAAGCAATGAATTTTAATAGTTAAATTAAAAGAATTATATCTAGAGTTCTTTCCTGTATTTCTTCTAAATTGACTCTTAACTAAAACATCAACCAAAGATTTAAGTTAAAAGTAATTGACTTAGATTTCAATTTATTTCTGTTTCACTCAACTTTGGAGACATTGTGAGATGCCACTTCTTCATGTATGCCAACTTTGGAGACTTTGGAGTTCATTTATAATTGGCAAAAAGGCCTCCTGACCATTTAAACTTGCACCCGATTGTCATCCCGATAAATAAACTTACAACTTTCCTATTTAGATACTCAAAGTTGAGAGAATAAGTATTATTAAATACCTATGACCGTTGACCATGCTTGTGTAGCAACACCGTGTGTGATGTGGCAATACACGCAAATTAGACGCATAAGTTCACTTTATTGGAATAAAAAATACTATAAAAAGACAGAAACTAAAAATGAAAAGAAAAACCCAAATGCCTCCGGGCTCTAGGTACCCCCCCCCTCTTCTTCGTTACCCCTCTCATCACAGTCCTCTTATCTCTTCCTTTTTCTTCTGTTTTTTTCGTTAACACTTCCCTTTTCCTTCCAATTCTTCTTCTGTCTTGACACAAAAGAAAACTCTATTCCTCTTCCTCTATATGTTCCGTCGTTCATAGTTCCAAAGCAAAAAAAATTCGAACTTAAAATTGAATCAATAAAATCCATTATATTTCACAACAAAGGAATCGAAACTTTAAAAATGAGCAATATAGGAACATGTTGTGACTTATCGGTGACGATATTCTCGCAAGACGGCAAAGTATTTAAGATCAAATATGCTGGCAAAGTCATAACAGTGGAAACGAGTTATTCAGTGGTGCTTAAAAGTTCTATGGTTGAGTCACACTTTGACCATTGAAAATGATGGCTTGGGGTTTGGCGGGCTCCTGGCAGAGTTATGCAGATGATCTAATGGGCGAAAAATCCTATGACAATCGTTCACTCCATTTGAGTAGAACGATGGAAAATATAGAGTTCTTTGACAGAGACGACTGAAAATGAGTGTTTTAGGGTCTTTAGGTCAAAAATGACACGTGGCAGGTTATAATTCGTTTATTGCTGACTGGGTTGCCACGTTTGTGAAATTGTAATGCACGCGCTATGATTCAATGGTCGGATGTGTTTATTAGTTCACTTATGCTCAAGTTTAAGTGTTCATATGGGAATTTTAAAAGTTCATCTACCGATATGACAATCGGTTGCAAGTTTAAGTGGCTAGGAGGCCTTTTTGCCTTATAATTTGTTTGGCCAAGTTCCTGTGAAGCTAAAGGAATTCTTTTACCAAAAGAAAAGGAGTAGTAGTCTTTTCTAGAGACTTTTGGTGCTTGGCAAAAAAGAAAACACTTTTGAGCATTAATAAAATATTTTTTATAGAAGCATATTTTTTTTTTCAAAACAAAAATATTCATATCAATAATTTTATAAT